TTATTTTGTTGAAGTGAATGACCCCATTTTCAGTGCTACCCTTCTATACTTATCACATCTCATTGTAATCTTCATATGTCAGTTTTCCCTATTGTATTGTGAGCTTTTGGAGGTCAGAATCGTATCGTTTATTTTGGTAGCCAGTACCCCAAAGGTGCTCATTTATTCAACAAAGACATGACTGTTGAATTTGCCTGATGGTAATAGGAAGCCATTGAAGATTTTTCAACAGAAGAGATGAGAAGACATCATCGTAATAAATGTAAATATGGCATTTACTAAATACATAATAATTACACACTCAATAATGAACATTTATTGAGTGATAGTGATGTGTCTGGATTGACAGCAGCGTTTCCATACGTTATCTCATTGAGCCCTCAAACTTTATGAGGTAGGTAGTATTGTTCTCATTTTATAAATGAAGAAGCTGTGGCTTGAGGAAGAGAATATGAAATAGTATTTGGAGAAGTCTATACATCAACCTGTGGAATGTCAGCATTGGTAGAGTTCCCTGAGATCAACTAGTCCTGATTTTGTACATATGAAAATAGAGGCCCCTAGAGGGAGGTGAATTGGTCAAGGTGGGGGCAGTGTCAGGTGTAGAACCTGGGTCCCTTGACCCCATTCTAGGTCCCTTCATTCTGGATGAACTACATGTGTTCTACAGACAGGGCTGGAGAGAAGCTGGTGATAACACGTCACTGAGTGAGGGGTGTTTGTGAGGATAGAGCCCAGCAGGAATCTTAGGCTTGCCACTGTCTGCCCTCCAGGTCTGAGGAAGATCCTGAAGGTCGTGGGGCAGGTTCCAGATCTGCCATCCTGCCTGCCCCTGACTGACAACACCCGCATGCTGGCGTCTATCCTCATCAACAAGCTCTACGATGACCTGCGCTGTGACCCCGAGCGCGATCACTTCCGCAAGATCTGCGAGGAATACATCACGTAAGTTTCCTGGAGGCCTCACAGGGTCAGGCTCTGTCTTAGTTTTCTATGGCTGTGTAACAAATTATCTCAAAATTTAGCAGCTAAAAACAATAATGTTTTTTTATCTCACACCAGAACCGAAATTTGGGAGTGGTTTGGCTGGGTGGCTCTGGCTTATGATCTTTCATGAAGTTACAGTCATGTGCTGGCTGGGGCTGCAGCCATCTGAAGGCTTGATGGGGGCTGGAAAATGCTTCCAAGATGATGGACTTACACAGCTGGCACATGGGTGCCGGCTGTTGGTGGGAGGCCTCGGTTCCCCCCACTGCAGACCTCTCCAGAGGCTGCTGAAGCGTCTTCACTGCATGCCACTGGCTTGTCCCACAGTAAGAGATCCAAGAGGGAGCAAGGCCGCAGGGAGATGTCTTCTCTATCTAGCCTCAGAAGACACATGTCATCACTTCCGCCACATTCTATTCATTAGAAGCAAGTCAGTAAGTTTGGCCTACATTTAAGGGGAAAAAATTAGGTTTCACTTTTTGCAGGGAGGAGTGTCAACATATTTTTGAACATATTTTATTTATTTGTTGAGACAGGGTCTCACTCTGTCCCCCAGGCTGGAGTGCAGTGACACAATCATAGCTCACTGCAGCCTCAAACTTTTGGGCTCAAGTGATCCTCCTTCCTCGGCCTCAGCCTCCCAAGTAGCTGAGACTACAAGCGTGCACTACCATGCCTGGCTAATTTTTGTGTTTTTTGTTTCACTGTGTTTCCCAGGCTGGTCTTGAACTCAGCCTCCCAGAGTAGCTGGGACTACAGGCATATGCCACCATGCTGGGCTAATTTTTTTTTTTTTTCTGTCGCCCAGGCTGGAGTACAGTGGCATGATCATGGCTCACTGCAGCCTCAGCCTGCTGGGCTCAAGCGATCCTCCTTCCTCTGCCTCAGCCTCCCGAGTAGCTGAGACTACAAGCGTGCACTACCATGCCTGGCTAATTTTTGTATTTTTTTGTTTCACTGTGTTTCCCAGGCTGGTCTTGAACTCCAAAGCTCAAGCAATCTTCCTGCCTCAGCCTCCCAAAGT